ATATATATATCTCAATTTTATAATAAATTTTTACGTATTGTTATATATGTAGGTATCACTGTATTGCCACATTCTGAACAAACTTGAAAAGAATGCACATAAATTTACATATAAATTGTTATATGGTTTAATCCTTGAATTATTTAAAAACTTACTAATAAGAGCATTCGAGTGTCTTAAATATTAATTACATAACTGTTGTTTATTGTAAAAGGAAGATGTAGAAATAAAATCACTAGTCACTTATTAATAATATTTTATTAGGAAAAACGATCTTCTAACTTATTAATTATAATGATAAATAATTTCGATCGATATTTCATTATTTATTAACTAATTGCTTTACTCTTTTGATTCGTTTTCTTCGTCGTCGTCTTCCAGGCCTTTAATATATAGAATATTATTACACCTTATCAAAACTTCACCCAAATTGCCTGAATAGTGGCCCCCAAAATATTCTTCTGCATTCGCCAACTGTATATTCATATAACTATCTAAAGATACTAAATAACCTCGATATTCTTGTCCCCATTTCAATTTTACCAGCACTGATTTACCAGTCAAACTGTTAAGGTACGGTTTAGGGTTTACGGGCATTGCGGAGGCCATTTTATACGTTATTGTCCTTATTTAATGCATAAAACTTAGCTTAAATGGGGGAATAGTCCATGACTGTCAAATAACAACTTTTGTTTAAATAATACCATGGTTAAAAACAATTGATTTCATATTACGGAAAGACGGATCAATATTATCCACTGATTTTATTGAAAATGAGTATTTTACTACGTGCATTTTGTTGTAATTGTAATTTTTCGCTCATTTAAAATTTGTATAGTCAATTGTGAACGGGAAGCACTAGTGAATACCAAACGCGTCCAACTAGTGAATAAGAAATTTACTTATGCAACGTTCACTTGCAGAGAAGACTAATGGGTTGCCTATACATTATTTTTTAAGTAATTGTTAATTTTATCATTTTTAACAAGTTTTCACACAGTTACTTAATTCATTTTCATGTGACAACAAAATTAAGTTCTTTTGCTCTTATTTTGGGCATAGACACTCCAATTAGTTAATTTATTACTTTATAAAATAAGAAGTTTGTAATTATTTATTTTGATAAGAAACAACATACAGGAAAGTAGATAATTAATTATGCAGTTAAATTATCAAAATTATAACTTTATAAATCCACATTTTAATTTAATTAACAAATTTTATTTCTTTTTTCCTTTTTTACTTCCACTTGGGCTATGTTCACCTATAGGACGGGCTTTCTGCCAATTAAGTGGTTTTCTTCTGTACATAGGCCAAGGAGGTATTGTTAACTATAAATTTAATTAAATTAGGCGATTGCTTATAATATTAGACCATTTTTTACATACCAAAGCTGCTAACACAAACCCGGCTCCCAAGATATAAACAGTTTGAGAGAATTGCTGAATTATGTAGCCCCAAATCAAACCAACCGCTCCAAACAAAGTAATAATAATCCTCGATAGCTTTTCAGCCCTTGCTTGACCCTCAAAGTCCTAAGAAAAAGATTTTTATTGAAAATATTGACATCAACTGCTTCTAGTACATTTTGTCATACATTAAGATATGAGACTTACCATATGGGTAGGAATGGAATTAATAAAGTCCATTTTAATTAATATTTGCTTAACAATAGTTTATAACGATTTTAATTAATGTTTTTAAATTGAAATCCACGTCAGGTAATAACTATAACCTAAAAATTATCAATGACAGCAATCACTGTCAGAATATTATCTATGGTCAGAATTCTGACAGTGCAGCAATGGCTGCCATATAAATGTCAGTTTGATGTCAATAAAAAGTAACTTATTATAGTTGTTATGTTTTGTTAATGTGTTAATTCATTTATATTCAAAAATAGTATCATATTTATACAGTATTTTTTTATAAGGAAATGCAATTGGTTACGTAGATCCAACATTTACTATGCGTAAAAGGATGCCACCGTTTCGTAGAAAGAAATCTAGCAAAAGTTTCCCGGTGAAAGTGTGCACCCTCGATGCAGAATTAGAATTTAATCTTGAGGTAATTTAGACTGAAATAACTTATTTTTTATTAATTGAGACGATAAATTGCAGTGGCGCGCCACCGGGAGGGATCTTTTCGATCTCGTATGTCGAACGATTGGTTTAAGAGAGACTTGGTATTTTGGTTTACAATATGAAGACTCAAAAGGTTTTATTTCGTGGCTTAAATTAGATAAGAAAGGTAAGGGGCAATATTTCCAAGTGATTGCTCTTCCTAAGCATTAATTTTCAGTGCAAGATCAGAGTATTCAAAAAGACCCACAAACTTCCACTTCGTTTATGTTTCTTGCCAAGTTCTATCCAGAGGAAGTAGCTGATGAATTAGTTCAAGAGGTAACACAGCATTTATTTTTTCTTCAAGTAAAACAGGCCATCCTTTCAATGGATATCTACTGTCCCCCTGAGGCATCTGTTTTATTAGCAAGTTATGCTGTCCAAGCTAAGGTATATATCAAAATAAGTTTTAAATTTATCATGTTTAAGTATTTTTAAAATTAGTTTGGTGACTTTGATGAGGATACTTACAAACCTGGATTACTCACAAATGAAGATTTACTACCCCAACGTGTCATTGATCAGTATCAGATGACCCTTGACATGTGGGAAGAGAGAATAAGGGTTTGGTATGCTGATCATAGAGGAATGAGTAGAGATGAAGCCGAAATGGAATATCTTAAGATTGCACAAGATTTAGATATGTATGGTGTTAATTATTTTCCTATAACTGTGAGTGAATTTCAAGAAAACTAAAATCAGTTTGGTTTATTAAAATTTTAATTTTAAGAACAAGAAAGAGACTGAGCTATGGCTGGGAGTGACAGCTGTAGGCTTAAATATATATGAAAAAGAAAATAAACTTCAACCAAAGACAACATTCACATGGGCGGAAATTCGACATATTAGCTTTGATGATAAAAAATTTATAATCAAGCCAGTAGATAAAAACTCACCGAATTTCGTTTTTTTTAGCCAAAAAGTTAGAATGAACAAATTGGTTTGTAAACACTACTTTATCGATAATTACTGAACACTAATTAAATTAAATTTTATTCAGATATTAGACTTGTGCATTGGCAATCATGACCTTTATATGAGGAGACGGAAGCCAGACTCTATGGAATTGCAGCAGATGAAAGCAGCAGCTAAGGAAGAGAAACAAAGGAGACAAGTGCAGAGGAACCGTCTTGCTAGGGAAAAACAACTTAGAGAAGAGGCCGAAAGGGAAAGGGCAAATCTTGAACAAAGACTGCTCCAATATCAAGAAGAAATAAGGCTTGCAAATGAAGCATTGGTAGGTAGCCCTTAACAATTTTCTTAAATTTTACTGAGAATGTGTTATTTATGACAGAGACGTTCCGAGGAAAGTGCAGAGCTTTTAGCTGAAAAAAGTAGAGTGGCTGAAGAGGAGGCAATGTTACTTAGTCAAAAAGCCTCTGAAGCCGAACAAGAAATCACCAGGATACGACTTAGTGCCATGAGAACAGAGGAAGAAAAGGTAAAACGTTCTTTACGATAAAATAATATGTAGTTTGATGAAAAACTTGTAGGTCAATTTGGAAAGAAAAACTCGTGAGGCTGAAATGTTAACTGCCAGACTTGTTGAAGAGTCGGAAAGGAGGGCTGCTGAAGCTGCCAAACTTAAAGATGAGCTTTTGAGAGCTCGTGCTGCCGAAAAACAAGCCAAAGAAAAGCTATTAGACTTCTTAAGCAGGACAACTTACACTAATTCGATTACACCAAGTCCTATTTCGGTAATGAAATAAATAGCTCTTTTCTGCTTTTCTTATTTGCTTTAATTATATTGTTATTAATTTAGAAACATTTAATTTCTTTTTATTTTTATTTTCCAGTCTGTGACGAGTTTGTATCCGGGCCCCCTGAGTCCGCAACTGCCTCCGGACTTGCCGGTACTCGATTCCGATTCTAGTCCTCCTCCAGATCACAATCTCAATATTAATTTCAATTCTTATGATCTCTTAGCACATGGTGACGCTGACCAGCTCTCTTTGGAAATCGAAAAGGAAAGGTAATAATAAATTATACTATTTTTATGGTTACTTTATTATGGTTAGACCTATCTGTCATCTGTTTGTCACAATTGATAACCTAAGAAAATATTAAAGCTGTTAAGTTGAAATTTAACAGTTATAGAATGTGGTTGTGCATCTATTTCAGATAAAAAAAATGAGGTAATTTTTATCTTTAGCAATTATAACTTTAGAAGTTTGAAGTGAATAATTCAAGTATTGCGTAGCCCTTTTTTATGAGTATGATTTACGTGCCCTTCACATATATAAGCTTCATTGTCGAATCAGTTGGAGAAGTAGATACCTTAGTAAGACCCTTGTCTAATTTGTTTAATCACTTTCTTGGTGTTAAAAATTATTTGAAAAATTAAATTTAAATGAATTGTTTGTAAATAGGTATGCAACACATCGTACACTTCAGCAAAGAAATTGCTGATACTAACTATTATTTATTATTGTTTTTGTTGTCAGAGTTGATTATTTGGAAAAGTCGAAACATCTTCAAAATCAGCTTCGAGAATTACGATCTGAGATAGCTGTACTGAAGGTGGGGGACAGGCAGTCGGAATTGGACCAGTTGCACGACGAACAAGTGAAATTGGGGGAGAATAAATATTCGACCCTCAAAAAAAGTAAATCCGGTTCGACAAAATCTCGAGTTGCATTTTTCGAAGAACTGTAAATAATAACTCAACCAACTCCTTCTGGAAGAAGCGTCTTCGTAGTTAGAGTAGGTGCCGTTTACAGTATAATTTTATTAATTCTATTATTTACATTCGCTTCGTCAGTTTTACCCTTCAAACATAAAAGAAATGTTATACATCAATAAGTACTTTATTCTTCTTTTTTTAATAAGACAATTATATTTTTTTAGCACTAGAGAAATAGTCTGGATATTAATGAAACTGGTACGTTTGATTATTTACCCAGTTTCTGTTATATCGAGATAACATTTTATAGTGATAAAAAACGTGCCTTCTATTTGATAAATAGTCAGCATATATTAAATATACAAAGCTCCAATGCTCTCGGAGCCCCAATTCCAAATAAGTACTAAATTGTTACTTTCTTCAAGCTGTATATAATAATAATCGATAATAACATTCTTTGATTGTTTGTTGTAAATAAATAGTAACCAATATTTTTACAAAAGTTATTTTTTTTTAATTATTTTTTCCTTGTAGCAAGCTAAAAACAGTTCTAATTTTATTTATTTAGGAAAGCAAAAAATTTAGATATGATTAATCCATGGATTAATCATATCTAAATTTGTTTCTTCATTTTCAGAAAATAATTCTTCGTGGGACATTCTGGAATTTCACCCCTATTATAACTTGAAAATATCGCAGATAACCTAACCATCCCTATCCGTATTCCATAGATAATCTATTCTATTATCTAATATGCACGAATCTAATCTTCGGTCGTTCGGGGAAGTACATAGATGGCTTGGTGAGTCTGTTCATAGAATTTATTTTTAATGCGTAGTTGTAGATAGTTGTGTTCCATTATGATAACTTTGAATAGACGGTTTTAATTTAGCCCAGGGCTAATTTACTATATAATTTACAAACAGCAATATTACGTATTTAATATCAAAATAAGTACAAACACTCTTAAAACGAACTCGTTGACTTTTGGAAAGTTTTTCACTAGGTTCAATAATGTTCGGGTTTATATTTATTTATGAACGTCAAAGATAAAAACAATTTGTCTTAAAGCGCCAAAAGGTACTTGAAATTAAATTTATTGGTCATCCACTTCAGGATAACTCTTGACAAATTACTTAAGATAGGGAACGATTACAAATAAAATTATCTGATTTCTATCTAATGAATACAAAATAACAGAAAAGTGGAGCAATCAAAATCCTTTGTTTACTTATCTGTATGTATACAAAAAGAAACTGATTGACTTTAAGGTGCAAAGGCTACGCACTATTGACAAAGGCACCACTCAAATTTGAAATAGTAAAACACCCATTGAATGCAATTTTTTATTCATCTTATTGTTCTTATCATAAGGGAAAAACTAAAAGAGACTAAAATATGTTAACAAGATACGGTCGAAGGTATTCCGCGACATACGTTTGATTTAGAGGAACCAGTTATTTTTATGCCCTTCCAAGACCAACTTGAAGCTACACCATTTGCGATATTAACGTAAATATCGACTGCTGATGACTTGACAGTACCATGAATGTTAGAAAATGTCACTTGTCGAATTGGGATCCCAGTGGTGGGAGTCCCAGTCGCTCCGCTATTCTGATAATCTCCCCTAATGGTTATGCCGTATTGCTTAACGTTTTTAAGTTCTATATTTTTGTATGTTATGCCAGAAACCACTCCTGTAGCTCCAGCAATTGTCTTTATTCTTACCCCATTATCAGAATTGACGATGGTACAGTCGGCAACTTCGACGTTTTTGACTTCATTGCTGTTACGTCCTCCCACCGATCCTATTGATATACCGTGCCCTCCCGAGCAGTAGTTGTTGGTGAAATAATAATTTGTTCCGGAGTTTACGGCGAGACAGTCATCCTGATTGTAGACTTTGCTGTTTTTAATGTAGACATAGTTGGATTGACCTACATCAAAGGCGTCGGTGTTATGCCCACCATTCGAATCACCATCGGAATTGTCAATAGTGGTTCCAGAAAGTGTTAGATTATTACAGTTTGTGATGGAAAAAGTGTGTCTCGGGGAATTTTTAATGTAGAGATTCTCCACTGTAGAATGGTCCAGTTTGTATAATTGGAACATGAGTGGTTTCTTGACTCCTCCATTGCTACCTTTGCCGTCCCACCATTTGGCACCTTGACCATTGATGACGTGATTACTAGCTCGTTTTACGCTAACTTTATTTCCACCGATAGAGACCAGGGGACCGTCCCAGGCATGATAGGCGAATGTTAGGGTTCCTTGGAATGTCACAGTGGTTCCCGATTTTAGGCTGGTCAAATCTAGGGTTTTCCCCGCCGGTACCGTCAGGTCTTTTACCACTATGTTAGTGCATGACGATTTCACGCTTGCCACGTTACTTATTGAAGTACCAGAAATAGTACACGAGGCCCTTTTACTACGACTTAGAGTAGGACTTGACATAACCATCGACACCAGCATTAACAGAAGGGAGCAGGTCGCGATAAACTTGATCATTGCGTTGCTTAAAGAAATATTTAAGCGAAAAATTACATTATAGTAATAAAATTAAAAAAAAAACAAATACAAAATACGTCACAAAAATGACTTCCTCAGTAAGAAGGAGAGTATTATAATATTTTATTAATTAAATGACTTACCCTTTTGGAAAATCAGTATCAATTGATGAAAGTTCTCTGTGTCTAAGACGCTTGTTGATACTTATTACTTATTTTTTTTAGTATTTGAAGTTTATATACTTCCAGTATTATGTAAAGTAGCTGTTGTTTTTTAAATTTCAAGAACTGATAAAAGTTAACAGTCTACATATCATGTTGAATCTTGATTGCTCAGTTAGATCAGATTAACCCTCTCATTCATCCATTTGTCAAAAGTCTTCAGTGATGTATGATAAAGAAATCGATTAAAGGTAATGGCAAAGCGTATTTTTAATGTTTTAGTTAGAAACGTTTCACATTTGCGCTATAAAAGCGTTTTATATTTGTTTTGATGCTACGCCACTGGGTAATGTTATTTACAAATAAATTCCGGTACTGCAGAATGTTTTTTTAATAGATTAAAAACTAAACATGTCAAGTATACAAAACATATCAATCAAAAAAGGCTCTTAGAAATCTAAATTTACATATACGTATCATGTAAATTACGAAACAAAGAGAAATACACTTATACTAACTATTATTTATTATTGTTTTTGTTGTCAGAGTTGATTATTTGGAAAAGTCGAAACATCTTCAAAATCAGCTTCGAGAATTACGATCTGAGATAGCTGTACTTAAGGTGGGGGACAGGCAGTCAGAATTGGACCAGTTGCACGACGAACAAGTGAAATTGGGGGAGAATAAATATTCGACCCTCAAAAAAAGTAAATCCGGTTCGACAAAATCTCGAGTTGCATTTTTCGAAGAACTGTAAATAATAACTCAACCAACTCCTTCTGGAAGAAGCGTCTTCGTAGTTAGAGTAGGTGCCGTTTACAGTATAATTTTATTAATTCTATTATTTACATTCGCTTCGTCAGTTTTACCCTTCAAACATAAAAGAAATGTTATACATCAATAAGTACTTTATTCTTCTTTTTTTAATAAGACAATTATATTTTTTTAGCACTAGAGAAATAGTCTGGATATTAATGAAACTGGTACGTTTGATTATTTACCCAGTTTCTGTTATATCGAGATAACATTTTATAGTGATAAAAAACGTGCCTTCTATTTGATAAATAGTCAGCATATATTAAATATACAAAGCTCCAATGCTCTCGGAGCCCCAATTCCAAATAAGTANAAATGTATAAAAAAATATATTTAATGTAAAACGCTTAAGTATTTTTTAAAAGCGCAAAAAGTTGTCGTTATTGCGATATGGCTTTGATCTTTTCTGATGATATTTTTGATTGAATCGGTAAATGATGTTACTATTCCAAGAAATGGCCAAATGAGTGAGTAAAAGATTTGTCGCGTACCGAACGTATGCAGGTTTCCAATGAATACCATCAGGAGTATGTCCTTCCAGCATATACTTGAAGATATAATGAAAATCCACCACTTCTATTTTGTATTCCTTGGCGATCAGGGAAGAGTAGACGTTACCTTCAAAAACCTGGAAGGGAAGGGCCTCCCGTAAAAACTCGATGTTTTTATTCAAAAATCCTCCCTGACACTTTGATGTTGGTGGAAAGCTTGTGGTCCAAATAATTTGGGTATGTCTCGGGAATTGTCCTTTCAAGAAGTAGAAGGTCTTTACGACGTTGTCCTTATAATCGTCCACTCCTGAGGGTCCCCATCGTGACAAATCCCACATGCAACTCCCCAAGACTATCACGTCAGGGGGTTGTTTCCAGTTCTCTATTTCCAAACGAAATCCGTCGAGAAACAGGCGAGTTATGAACTGGAACTTGATATAGGGGTTGAGATTGTATTCCCGGACCTCCACGTAGTTTGTTCCTGGGTGCACTTTCCCGTTGGATAGTCTCACGTCTCCGGCAAACGTTGGTTCGTTCTTGTCTTTGAGTTTCCCATCAGGTATAAGGGTGCCGTCGTACATAAGCCATAATAAGTCCTTGTAAAGGGCGCGCATGTTCGAATCACCGAAGAAGAGGATGCGTTTATTCCGAAGGAGGTCGTAGGCTTCATCCCCTTTAAACGTCCACGCTGACATGGTCACTCAAAGGACTGTCTTAACAAAACTGATAATGAAGGGTAATGTCAAGGACAATCAAGCGGCTTACCTCGATATTTATTCAAACGATAACCAAGCGGACGAAACAAAACATACAGCATACATACAGGGGACTAATTTTGAAATAATTTAAGGTTATTTTACATAGGGTATTTAATCCACAAATCCACGTGCGTTGTTTAAATAAAATCGTTATTAAATAGTAGGAATTTTTAATTTATATTTTTAATTAAAAAAACGCGAGCTAATAGGAATTCGGTCTACCTTAATTTAAATATGCCTATGCCCTGTAAATCCCAACTACAGAAAAACAGAAATAAAACGAGTCTTACTTGTACGATTCGATGTTGTAAATAAATAAACAAACCCAACGTATTCATATCGATTCAATTTTCTTTGTGACGGTATGTAATAAGATCGGTTATTGTACCAGTGGCGTACGTATTTTGACCAATAAATTAAGAAAATTGTATATGTATATTATACGTATATTAATAAACCGTTACTTAGCTGACTAAGACCCCAAATCCACCACAATAGTTTATTTAATCCATTGTATTAAAATAATTTTACTTTTATTTTGATCCCTTAATTTTATGAGATTAGTATTACGTATTTGCGTTAAATTTGAAGATTATCGCGTCAGTTAGGGCGTATAAACAGTCGGTCATGTTAAGGTTCCTTTTTACCTTTTTTTGGTACAGAGACTCTGTTGTGAGGGAAGTTTAAAAAAGAAACAAAACGTATACAACAAAATTTAACGATTATTTATTTCGATAATTACCACAACATTACTTAATGTACTAACTAATTAATTATAAACCTTTACATTATTCTTTTTAATCGTCTTCATATGACTGTCACAAAACTTTGACGGTATAGGGCTCAATTTCGAATGTCTGCTTTAAAATGGCGCTGAGGAGAAGTTCCACATTACAAACGATCTTCACCTTGTTCTTCTTGTTTCTTAACACGTCATAGACGATGTGCAGGTCGTTTTCATGGGTTAGTATTATATAACTGTAAGGCGAGCTGATATTGGTAGCTTCGATTTGAGAAGCTGTCCTTCGTATTTTCTCCACGACTCCTCCGCAACTCTGCACCAGTTCGGCGAGGAACTTCTTACTCGGATAGACGCTGGGGGTGATGAAGAAGAATTTACCCTCAAGGAGTTTGTTGCGGTTTTTGGTTTGCAAGGTTTGTCCAAAGTCGCACTTATACATGCTATTGAACTCTTTGGTGTCGAAAGTGTAATTGATTTCGTCGAGAAATTTCCCCACGTTCCGGGAATCCCACAACCAAGAATCAGGAACTATATGCACATTGCCCAAACACAAACAATGAAGAAGCTTATTGGTACGTTGCAACGTGGACATTACCAAGTGAGTGCACTCGGTAGTGGTCTTTGCTATGGCACCGTTCAGGTTGCTAGAAAAAAAGAGCAACGTGCATGTGTCAGGTATTTTAATCGTGATAGCAACAACTCCATGGGACTTACATTACGACTTTACGTAGTTCGTCGCTGTTTTGACATCCAGAGAAGAGAATTTTATGGGTGGCATTCGGGTTACCGAAACTCTCAGGGTTTTCGTTTTCGTCATTCGACGTTTCTGTTTTAATTTTTTTCGTCTTCTTCGGCATGGCAACAGGGGAGACACACCTCTTTACCCTCTCGTATGACTCTTGGGAAATGTTTATTGGCATTTTCCAGGCCTCTAGAACAACATATATCAGAATTATTTCGTTCACAAAAAGAAACAGAAACATCGTACGCATTAATGTGGGCACTAAAGCGGGGTCAAAGGTGAAAACAGGCGGCGTAGGGAACTGCTGATACTTGATATGTTCTATGTGGTTCAGGGCACTGAAGAACACTAATTAAATTAAATTTTATTCAGATATTAGACTTGTGCATTGGCAATCATGACCTTTATATGAGGAGACGGAAGCCAGACTCTATGGAANATATCAGAATTATTTCGTTCACAAAAAGAAACAGAAACATCGTACGCATTAATGTGGGCACTAAAGCGGGGTCAAAGGTGAAAACAGGCGGCGTAGGGAACTGCTGATACTTGATATGTTCTATGTGGTTCAGGGCACTGAAATGGCCCAACATTACGTCAGTTAACCATTGAATATTGACCACAGGAGTGCCCCATTTTTTTGCACGTGCAAATTTTTCGCCCTCCGCTTTGGCTGCTATCAGAAGGGTATTGTGCTTCGAAAAATAACTAGTGAACTGTAAAACGTTATATTTAACAAATAGAAAAACGGGTTTCGCTATCAAAATTACCGTGGCCCCAATATATTTGATCATATGCTTAATTTTGCTTCGATCTGGCTCTACAAAGCCACTTAAAGAAATTAAATGTTTTGAAGCAGGCGCAGTATCTAAATACATGGTGGGAAGGTGAAGAGCCGTCCACGGGGGAAGAACCTGCTTACGTTTCAGGATGTCTGAAAGCCAATAGAGGGTAACACACCTCTTGAAGTCGCGCAATGCCTGCATGACGACCCCATGTCTCTGTGTTTCACAAAGGACGTGTGTCACCCTGCTACAATACTGGTTTTCCACTTCTCCTGCAAAACAAAAATACTTGTTTAAAATTGTTACAGAACAGAAATATTATTTTTTTGTATTGCACCTCCATATTTTTCAATCTTCTGCTTCCAATTTGGCATGGATTCTTCAAGAAATCTTTCAACTTCAACCACCACAAAGATGCACCCCAAAAGAAACAAATCTGGAGGGACTAAAAAATAAATTTTACTATTCCTTGTTAAAATATGTATTTGTGATGGGGAATCCTACGTTTCAAGTTGGGGTTGTGTCCATAAAAAGGTCCAGGTCGATGTTGCAAAGGTATATTACTCCTAGGTGAATATTGCAACTTGGGAGGCTCTCCTACTGTCGGTGGGGGCACTGAGGGAGCAGCGGGTGGTCTTGCCAATTCTGTAGTTGGCGCTCCAACGGGACGTCTTTGTTGCAGTCCCAAAAGATCTTGTGGACGCCCTGGAGAACTCAAGGCAGCATTATGTTGAGCTGTCATCAACCTAAAAAATAAACACCACTCTGTTGAGAGTTAAGTTTGGAATTATAGGACTGAAGTCCACCTTAACGTCCCTGCAGCGGAAGGTTCGGCAATGGTCTCTGGCACGGGGCCCACATTGGTGCTCCCACTTTGTAATCGAATGCTTAACATGTTGGCGAGGGCTGTTTTGGTTTTCGCATTTACTACAAGTTGTTGCTGAGCAACGTTAGCATCAACAACAGACACAGGAACAGTCTCGGTGGCCTGGGGATGAGCAAGGGGACGCGCAATGTTGGCCTGGGGCACTACTGGGGGCTCTTGTGGAATGGGTGGAGCAGGTTTAGGAGTCTGCTGCTCACGTTGTTGTTGTTGTACCTTATGCATTTAAATAAAGGACTTACAATGAATACGCAATTTCTAATAATTTACCTGTAGTTGTTGTAATCTGAAGTGCTGCTGTCTCTGTATCTGAAGCTGCTGAGCATGGTCAGTAAACTGAGGGGCACCTTGCTGTTGAATAGGACTCAAACCTGGGGCCTGTTGCGGTTGTTGAATGTTAGGCGACTGAACGTTAGCTCCTTGAGGTATGTTAGGGGTGGCGACTGGGGGCGGCTGCTGCTGGATACTGGCTTGCTGCAAAACAACTCCTTGCTGCTTGGCCTGCTGTTGTAGCCACTGCATTTGTTGTTGAGGAGTGAGACCTGGGGGAACTGGACCACCTTATCGTTACAAAACCTCCATTTGAAAACAACTCGCAACAAAACAACCAACTACAGTAACTCACCTCTGATCACGACGTGCCTCTGTTGCTGCTGTTGTTGGTGTTGCTGGAGTTGAAGTTGTTGCTGTTTCTGCTGAAGTGCCAGCTGCCTTTGCCGCTGAAGTTTAGCGATGAAAAGAGCTCGTTGTTCGGGGGCCATCTGCTGAAGCTGTTGGTGGGTTTGCGCATCAAGCTGGATATATTGTCTTTGAGGTATGACTCCACCCTGGGGGTGATTGGCAGGCCACTGAACTCTAGGAGCACCTTGTTGGTGTATGACGCTCGCGGCGTGCCTAATGCCCACCTGTTGCCACAAGTTTTGACCTAATGGTCTTTGCTGGCCTGGTAGATTGGGTTGATTTATTTGAATAGTGGGTTGTTGTTGAGCAGGAATGTTTTGTTGAACCATTTGATTGGGAATGTTCTGTTGAGATACCAAATTTGGCTGCTGATTTTGCATGTTTTGCTGCTGGGCTAATTGAGGAGGAATATTTTGCTGATTGAGCTGGTTCTGTTGAACAATTTGCTGCTGGGTAATTGGATTTTGAGAAACGATATTTTGGGTGTTAACCAGCTGGCTTTGTGGCTGATTTGCAATGCTAGAGTGGGGCAACTGCTGAAGCAATTGCTGATTGAACTGGTTCCCAGACGTCGTGGTTTGTTGTTGCTGAAACGTTTGATTTTGCTGTTGATTTATAAGCAGCTGTTGTTGATTTACGTTTATTTGTTGATTAATTATTTGAGGCTGAGGTTGTTGAGGCTGCTGGTTTGTCTGTTGTTGATTTTGAATAAATTGGTTCGACTGCTGAACACCTTGCATTTGATTCTGATTCTGCACAAACTTTTGTTGCTGTTGAATCTGCACTTGTTGATTTTGCTGAATAAATTGAGGCTGTTGTGATTGAGAGTACTGATTTGGTTGCTGAGGACTTTGTGGTATTAAATTTTGAGTGGATTGAGGGCTATGCGCTATTAACTGTTGTTGATTTTGACTGAACTGTTGAGCTTGTACGAACTGTACTTGCTGCGTTTGTATCAACTGAGAGGATTGTGGGCTTTGAATTATTTGATTTGGTTGCTGGTTTTGTATTAACTGGTTAGGTGGTTGTTGATTCTGTTGATTTTGAATCAACGTATTTTGTTGTTGAGTTGTGATCAACTGCGTCGTTTGCTGTTGACTTTGTTGATTTTGTAAAATTTGATTCTGTTGCTGCTGATTTTGAATCAATTGGCTTTGCTGTTGTTGATTTTGTTGTTGAATCTGAATAAGCTGATTTTGAGACGAATTTTGAATTTGTTGGTTTTGAATCAACTGATTTTGCTGAGGGCTTTGTACTGGCTGATTCTGCTGCTGAGGTTGTTGTTGTTGTTGTTGCTGTTGTTGGTTGGATTGCTGTTGAGCAAATCCTGTTAAAGTTCTGGAACTTGCATCATTAAACTGTTGAGTTTGGTTGAATTGTTTTTGGCGCAATTGGTTCAAGTTGACGATTTGCTGTTGTTGGGAAGTTAATATCTGTTGTTGGTTAATTTGACCTTGCAGGTTTTGATTGAAATGACTTTGTATTAATTTGTTTTGTTGAATATTTATATTTTGCTGATTCTGTGGACTAAGAACTACCTGACTTATAGATTGTGGCGATTGGGGTACGCTGGTAAATGGCGGACCTTGATTTTGATGTAACTGTTGTTGTTGGGGTTGTTGATTTATTTGCTGGGTAGGTGTAGGTACTTGTTGGGCGATGTTGAGATGCTGCATCTGGTTATTTTGGCTTAGCTGGGTAATATTTAGATTTTGTTGCCTGTTGGCAAAGTGTTGCTGAATTTGTTGGTTCAACTGTTGCATACTAACGGAATTCTTAGATAGCTGTCCCAGGTGCATCCTTTGAATTAAATTTTGTTGATTTTGATTTATTTGTTGCTGATTGATTGTAACAATCTGACTTGACTGTGGCTGCTGAGGGGATTGGGAAATTTGAACGTTAGGTTGCCCAATAGGTCTTCCTTGGGCTCTCTGTTGTTGCAACAGCTGCTGGTTAAATTGATTTTGCTGATTTAGTTGGGTCAGTTGATTTAATTTATTTATTTGTCCAATTTGTCCAAGTAGATGTTGTCTTTGTTGTAGTTGCTGTTGAGTTATCAAACGATTTTGGATAAGTTGACTGGCCTGCGCTTGACTAACGTTTTGTAGCACTTGTTGATTGGATTGTTTGAATTGATGTACGTCCAATTGGGGCCTCGGCTGATTCATTATAGTTCCTTGAGGAGTATGATGTACTATGCTCTTTGGCATTTGATTATTAGATGTTAATAGACTTTGTTGAATTTGACTTGCATTGGAAAATTGACTTATATGTTGAGAGTTTTGTACCAATTGCTGAGATGTAGAACTGAAGAAACGTTGTTGTTGTTGTTGTTGTTGGGTATTGAGTTGTGACGTATTGTTTGAAGTTGGAGATGAAGGCGTGACAGTAGATGCTGGAGGAGTTTGAGGGATTTTTGTGTTTGTGGGGGCGACCACGTTTGGAGGTACGACATCATTGGCGGACTGGGACGTCTGAGGTTGATTCCAGGGCATTCTCTGCTTGAGTTTGTCCAATAACGCCTGTGTTGTGGAGTCAGCCAAGTTTGTTTCTATAAGATTTTCTTCGGTTTCTGTTGGGGGCGGTTCGAAACCCGTTATTGCTGTCGTGCTCTCATATTTCGTGACTTTAGGCCAATTTATCAGTTTTGGATGATAAAGTTCTATCTGTGCAAAACCATTGTTCTTAACTGATTCGATTATCCAGTCGGGTGTTGCTACTTTAATTATGTCAGGGCCCAATTCCATAGCTTTTAAGTACTTGGCAGTATCAGTAGCTACTGTTATTAAGTGGGTACACTTTCTATCCAAATTTAATTGCACCTTTCCACCATTGTAAGATATTACAGCCCACAATGAGTTTCTATCTTCATTTATTTTTGAAAAACAAAATACGCAGTTAGAGAACAATTTGTTGGGATTGTACAGATATGGTTTTTGGTTTACTAACTTTTTTAATCTGGCTGACATAAATATCCACTTAGGCGTGATGGCAGGAATTTCATACAAATCATTAGCATCAGAAAGATCNAAAGTTTTGTCGTTTACACATGCAAGCGTTTAATCATTTTTATATGGGTATAGTGGAAACTGTGCTGTATCTGGTGTTAGTTCCGGTGCTGCCACCGGAAGTACTAAAAAATGATGTCGATCGGGATGGTCCAGGAATACTGGGCTCAGATATCATGTCTAATTCATAGGCATTGTCGATACCGTGCTGTGGGGCGTTGTTGGTCTCGATCCGGCTAGGGAGTGGGTCGTCGAAGCATTCAGGGATTGCATGGTGCCCATCTAAACAAAATTAATTCAATCACATATCAACCATTTTCACTATCACTATAAGAAAACAAGCGGAAATTTTTAACCAAGAGCTTCACTATATGAATTCATAAATTATAATTAATGCTAAAACATCAAGCATGGTGATGACATAAATGTATATCAATTCTGCATTTTAATGGTAACTTTTAATGGAATAGTATTGTTTTTATTGTTGTATTGTCTTTTACTACAGAAAAATTGCAATACTTATCTTACCAGTTTGCTATCTTTCACAAGTCTGCATGTCACAAAATAATTAATTTTGGTAAATGAAATTACTGGAATGTTTTTTTGTTTTAATTCACTTACCCTCAAATGTGCTAAATCTTCAAGTTTTGTCAAATCAGAAAGCTCAATGTAGAGGGAATAAACCAAAACAAATCCGTAGATATTAATTACTGTAAAGGCAATCCACAACAGGCACATCAACACGTTGTAGGCAAATATCATATCATTGACAATGGAGAAGAACAAAAATGCTAGGAGTCTAAAAACTGTAAATATTCCAAATGCTACTATCCATGGTACCATTTTCTTTTCGTATTCCTATTTATAAAAAATACATTAGCAGTGGTAAATTGCTAAATAACACTTCTTTTACCTTTCTCAAGGCTATTATTAAAATTATACTTGTAACAAACACTGCTATGGCACCCAAAACAGAAAATGCAGCAAACATAACTAATGCATTTCTCACTAAAATTTAAAAGTTGATATTCAATACATGATAGTTATTTATCTATTTTTAAATGTTTCAGAATATAATAAGCTTACCATGTCTACTTCCAACATAAACAAACTGATATGAAATCACATAGTAGCCATAGTGAGTTGAACCAGGGGCTGCCATTATGTAGCAGTATAGGTCAAATACAGAAGTAATGATTGTAAAAATAGATAGTAGCTGAAAAAATTGAATTCAGTATTTCAATCGTTTCTTCTTGTTAACTATTTTTACCAAGGAATAAATTGCAATTAAAAGAGAAGCTCTTTGAACATCCAGAAAGAACGAATTCTGTATTAGAGGTTTTTTGTACCATGGTGTCTTCAAAGACTTGATACTACGGCTGCTTCTTAAATTTGCACTACTTCTAGTTGTGACATGAGAATATACAGAAGGTGTACCCATGCTTGGTGATTTTTTATACATAACAGTGCTCTTTGAAATAATAAGTCAGTTTTAACACAAACACTCCTACTAAAGTTCCTCACAACTACACAACCTAATATTTATCACAACTCATTATCATTGCCAAATTCATTTTTAAGGTACCCTCATTACACTGAAAACAATACACAAAAATAATTTAATTTCTTGAAAACGAATATTTGTGCCTATTACTCATTAATTTTATTCCTTGCTTTAATCACATATGATTACAAACAAAACAGGTGTGGCGCAGACGCAGGTCGGAATTACTCGGCATTATTCGGACATTTAACGAAAAATTGTCACATCGAAAATTCTCTTCATCGATTAAATTATCTATGGATTAAATTTATGAATTATTATTTTTGGCTTTCATTTGTTCTTTCCTTTTCACAGATACACGTGAGAATAAATTATTTCCTGCCCCTAAAAACGAATTTTCCTTTAGCAGTTCAATCTACCGAGATAGTGTATTTCCTTCTGATGTCTTAAAGGACCTTGTCGTGAGGTAATATGGTTTAAGTTATTTGAAAATACCATTTAATTAAATAGAATAAGAACATCGTTGCCATTACCTAATTAAAATATTTGTTGTTTTTCAATAGGCTTTACAATACTAAGGGGCATGGTCTATGTTACAATGAAATAATAATTCCTTCACTCCTTCCATACTAGTAGAGAACCTCGGAATACTTTATGTAAGATTTTAAAGATTTTGGCTCTTAATAATTTTACTTTATTTAATCCACTAATTCTTGGCAGTATACCTGTTGCTTGTGATAGTTCTATTGCATTGCAATATTAACTATATTAGGTGTAAATAAAACAAATATTTATTGTGTTGAGAAAAGGTTACTAAAACGGTTATTCTTTTGTCTCCGTTTAGCTTCAATGAAGAATCATGAAAGTGACTTCCTCTCCTGGGAATAAGGATAATGATCACAGCATGATATGGATTACTAAAGAATGAGTTTGCAACATGTAATTAATTACTTTTTGGACACGTTTGGAGTTCTGGAACTAGAAGGTAAGAAAAATCCTTTAACATTTTTGGGGCTTTAGTTGATTTGTTGTACAAGCCCGCATAATAATAGGAACTTCACCATTGTAAGATATTACAGCCCACAATGAGTTTCTATCTTCATTTATTTTTGAAAAACAAAATACGCAGTTAGAGAACAATTTGTTGGGATTGTACAGATATGGTTTTTGGTTTACTAACTTTTTTAATCTGGCTGACATAAATATCCACTTAGGCGTGATGGCAGGAATTTCATACAAATCATTAGCATCAGAAAGATCATTTTCTTCAGGATTATTACCACATACAAGATGTGTAACATAATCAGTAAAGTAATTCATTCGTTCAGCACCCCCATTTTTCAACAGCGCAATTACCTACAGTTATACAGAAACAAATTAAAATTAATCAAAAATAGACTGATTTATAAGTAAAACTATTTGCAAAAAATAAATTTCAACTAGTTATGGTTTTAACATTACTTGCATCTAACTATCATACCTAAGGTACTTTGTTATTGTATTTAGAACCAAAATAATGGTGTACACTATAGTTAAATTGTTTTTAAGTATATCAGGGTGCACTGTTGGATGTGATGTTTATTAATTTGATGTTTATTGCAAATTTTACAAACTTATCAGTTATGAAGGAATCTCTCATTAAAAAGATTTAATGCGAACAGTAGTTTACAGAATAACTTTAAACCGATTAAATATTAAAAACAGTTTCTTAAAATACGTACTTTGTCGGAAATTTCTCCAGTAACATAAAACTTAATGTCTTTAAAAATTTGTTCTTCTAATTTTATATTTTCTAATTCACCACTTAACTCCATTTTTAAATTAAATTAACTACATTTCTTACAGAGAATAGCTTTTAATTCACCATTTCGCCGGGTGATATTATTTGTTAAATTAATTAATATTATTTTATTCATCCATGATTGTTTATTTGACGTCTTTCATAACATCATAACCAAAAAATACTAATAGCCGCCATTACTATCTTCAAAAGTCAATGTTCATGGTCAGCCAATATTATTACCTAAAATGTTCCTAAGAGTACAAAATTGTTAATCAATTTTACAAAAACTATTGTTTGTTAACAAATATTTTCATATGTTTTGGATTTTGCGTATAATTTGTTGTTAAATTTAAACATTTAAGTATTTTAAAGGTACTTTAACCAAAAAAAGTGAATACAGTTATGAATGTNATTACATTTTGATTGCTCTGTTACAAAAATTCAAAGAATCTAAATTTAAAAAAATTGCAGAAATGCTGAAAATACTTCCTTTTATTAAATACAAATATTAAGGTGGTGCATGTCTTTATTGTGTTCTTATCTTATTTGTGTAGGAATGTAATTAATTCTTAATTAATACATTTTTTGCCCATTTCTGCAGATTTTCCAACAAGTGAAGAAGAATTAAACATCATTTTGGTCATGCTGAAATAACTGATGTCTACATGGGTGGCGTTTTCCTGGACTTTATTGTTGATTTGCTGTTTTCGTTTGAATTTGATCCTGCAGTTAATTAAGGTGAGAGTGTATGACATAATTAGTTTTAATTGCTCTACAGCATAAATTAATGTTATCCTGTATTTATGGTATCGTCCACAGAATAAGTTAACGTTCTACATCTATCGCATCTCTTTTAACCGTTATCTATTGATCTATTGTTTACAGAACAAGCTGGCGCTTTCGTGCATCTATGGTACCAGTTAACATTTATCTATCGTTCACACCATAAATTAATGTTATCGTGCATCTATTGGTATTCTAACGATTCTGTATTGTTCGCAGCATTAAGTGACGTTATCGTGCACTTTGGTACTTTCTTTTTTTAACGAATATCTATGGTGTATCTTTCATTACTTCACATTTGTCAAAATGTCATTTTATAATTCAGATATTTTAGTTGTTGGTGCGGGTTTTTATTGTTTTTCTTCTCTTACTTATATAGGAGTGTAATTAATCCTTAATTAATACGTTCTTTTTGCCCATTTCTGCAGATTTTCCAACAAGTGAAAGAGAATTAAAGATCAGTTTGGTCATTCTGAAACAACCAATGTCTACATGTGTGGCGTTTTCCTGGACTTCACTGTTGATTTACTGTTTTCGTCTTCACTTTCCAACATTATGCAGTTAATTCTCAACGGAGGAGTGAGAGCAACTGGAGATTTGATTTGCTTTTCACACCTGCAAACTTTGGAACATTACAATTTACAGTTAAGGTGAGAATGCTTGATATTATAATTAATTTTAATTGCTCTTTATTAANAATATTATTACCTAAAATGTTCCTAAGAGTACAAAATTGTTAATCAATTTTACAAAAACTATTGCTTGTTAACAAATATTTTCATATGTTTTGGATTTTGCGTATAATTTGTTGTTAAATTTAAACATTTAAGTATTTTAAAGGTACTTTAACCAAAAAAAGTGAATACAGTTATGAATGTTTTGTCAAGTTGGTAACATTAATGAGAAAAACAAGACCTCCGCGGTCTCCGTCATAAAAATATTGTTTACGTCTTCAGGCTTCGGCATAAATCTTTTTAAATCCGAGCCATCAATTAGTTTTAAGTCTTAAAAAGTATCTCACGTTGTTAAACAGCAATTTATTGTAATGGCAGAAGCAGACAAGCTTAATATCGACAGTATTATTTCCCGTTTATTGGAAGGTAAGTTGAAACGAAATTGAAGGTCAATGTATCATGGCGTCGACTACGCCTAAGAAAATAACAAAAATATTGTCAAATTTTATTTTTATTTATATTTATTTCTTCTAACACCACTTGACTTTTGCTTATTAATTTAAATATTTTGCTTTGTAACAAATTTGTGCAGTGCATTAGGTCATTTAAGAACTTCACTGATTATCTTTGAGATAAAAAAAATAAACACGTACATCTTTAAAACGACGTATAATTTGCAGTTAAATATTATATTTGTAGTTTAGAGTGAGTTGCTAACAACAAATTGGTATTTTGTGAAATTTTAAGTTATAAAGGGGCTTTATGATAGAAGAAATGTCACTTTCTTATTTTAGTCCGTGGAGCAAGACCTGGCAAAAATGTACAGCTCAGCGAAAGTGAAATTCGGGGTTTATGTTTGAAATCGAGAGAAATATTTCTTTCCCAACCAATTCTTCTAGAACTTGAGGCTCCATTAAAGATTTGTGGTATGTACTGTGATTATTGTTTTAACTATGAATGTGTATGTAAGGTAATACTAAGGGGACTCTCATTTATTTCAGGTGATATTCACGGTCAGTACTATGATTTGTTAAGACTTTTTGAGTATGGAGGCTTTCCACCAGAGTCCAATTATCTGTTCTTGGGTGATTATGTTGACCGTGGCAAACAGTCTTTGGAAACCATCTGCCTCCTTTTGGCATACAAAATTAAATATCCTGAGAACTTTTTCCTCCTTCGTGGAAACCATGAATGTGCATCTATTAATAGGATCTATGGCTTTTATGATGAATGTAAAAGAAGGTTAATTTCATTATTATGTCTTAATTTAAGTTTATGTTTAAAATATCTTTAATCTTTATTATTGTTTATGTTGCTATCTGCTTATTAACATGGGTTCATTGTGTTATCATTTTCAATTATTTTCAATTTTGTTGGCCTTGAGACTTCTGTTACGAATTATTATGTGGACTATTATTTCATCATTATCCACAATCCGGAAAATTATTTAAGACTTAATTATTAAATATTAAAATAATAGTAATTGATGTACTTATTTGTTGCATCAGTTAAAATTTGGCTTTTATTGAAATACTACATTTTAAAACGTGTTTTCTGTTACAGATACAACATTAAATTGTGGAAAACATTCACAGACTGCTTTAATTGTTTACCAGTGGCCGCAATTGTGGATGAAAAAATTTTTTGCTGTCATGGAGGTAAGTTATTATTTTTAAATTTGTAATTGTATAATGATGACACACTGCTTTTTGAATGGTGATCTACTAATGTTTATAAACTGTATAATGTTAATTGTTTATGTCAGATGTTACCTTTTGTTGCCTGTTTTATATTATTGAAACAGTTGTTTTTACATTACTGAATGGCATTTTTCTGCATTATGAATTTAATAAGTTTATTATTTGGTTATCTATTATTAAATATATTTCTAATGTTATTTAAAAGTTAAGTTATAATAAAAGTTACGAATGTTGCTAATATGGATTTCTTTTCTTGTTAAAGGTCTAAGTCCTGATTTACAGTCGATGGAACAGATAAGGCGAATCATGCGCCCGACAGACGTGCCTGATCAGGGCCTGCTTTGCGATCTTTTATGGTCTGACCCGGACAAAGACACGATGGGCTGGGGTGAGAACGATCGTGGCGTCAGTTTCACGTTTGGGGCTGAAGTTGTGGGTAAGTTTCTCAACAAGCACGACTTCGACCTGATATGTCGTGCTCACCAAGTCGTCGAGGACGGCTACGAGTTCTTCGCCAAGAGACAGCTGGTCACATTGTTTAGTGCCCCCAACTATTGCGGTAAGTCGACAAAAAAAAAATAAGTTATTTTTTACGTATAATTGTGACATAAGAAATAATTTTTTTTTATTAATGTAGGTGAGTTTGATAATGCGGGTGCGATGATGTCAGTAGATGAAACGTTGATGTGTAGCTTTCAAATATTGAAGCCTGCAGACAAGAAGAAGTTCCAGTACGGGGGTTTAAACGCGGGACGACCGGTGACGCCCCCGCGAGGCGCCACCAACAAAAACAAGAAGAAGTGAATAGACGACGAGGGGCTGAGTAAAACGACGACGCTGACGAAGACAAAAACTACGCGAATCGACGGCAAACGCGGCGCGCCCCATTTTAACTTAGGAATTAGATTATAGGTTTCAACAAAACTAAATACAACTATTACTACTACTATTATCACTACTACTACCGCTATAACTACTACAAACAAACCAACAAAAAATAATAAAAACAAAGCAGGGGATTAATAATGAATACTTATTAAAGTAATCGTCAGTTTTAATAAACTGATTGATGTGCGCGAGGAACACGAAACTTCGAGGGCGGTAATAATTTTATTAATAAAATAAAAATACAAAATACACTATTCATGTGTTTTTTATCGTATTGTATACTGCTGATTTGTCGTAAAAAGTCCTAAATAGTAACAATTTAACTGTTTCTTCTTCTTCGTTCTGGTAAAAAACAATTCGAATATGTACGTGAACGTGTATGTAAGGGTGTATCCAGGGGTAGTCGGCCATTTTTGTTCGGAATTTTCAAGTGGGAAGGAAAGGTGGACGAAGGGCTCAACGGCAAAATTTTCTAAATTAATTTGCGTTGTATTTATATAAAATGTATTTAATTTATTCTCAGGAAAAGTATGTTTTCAATTTATTTTTTTTTTATTATTAATTAATTTCCGGTATGTGTACGTGTGCCCGTTCGTGCTCCTCGCTCTTCTCGTCTAATTCTTGTCGATTTTCGTTTGCAATTAAACACATAATTTATCACTCTTTGATGATAATGTTATATTTTTAGAGAAATTCGCGCAAGGGGGCGCATTTATTTTTGTACTTTTCGTTTTAGCGAATTCGTAGTAATTAATTAATTTTTAATGGGGAATTACGTGATATAAGGCTGAAAAAGAAATATTTAATGTGTATAACCGATGATACAAAACGGGAAGTATAATGTAGTTTAGCTAACGAAGAAAGTGGCTGATTATTTTTAGGTGATTCTTTGATTTTTATTCTTCTGGGCTAATTATAAATGGGAAAATACTACTTGTTTCCATTGAACAAATCAGTAATCGTTAAATTATTAAAATGTACTTATTTCTCTCTTTTATCTCTGTACTTACAAAAATCATGACTACTAAGTAAAAGTTTCATTCTCTCTGTTGTATAATATTTGCAATTAATTATGGTTACCAACGTTTCGCTTGCTCTTCATCAATCCTAAATGGAAACAGGTGGTTTTAATAACAATTTTTGTTTGTGCAAAGTCATTTTACTCCATTGATATATACATACTGGAAGCTACTGGATCGGTTCTTTTTTCTTTGCTGCTTTTTTTTGTTTTATAATTGTTGACAAAGCAAACAAATAATTTTGAACAATTGTTTCTGATTATTGTAAAAGCTACTGTTTAAGTGTAAACAATCAATTGTCCTTTTCAGTCAATTGTTAATACTGTTGGTTATTTAGCACTTTCAATTTCTTTTTGAAAAGGAATTTGTTGTTTCTTTCTTTTTAACGTAAAATGAGGGAGTAAAATGATTTGGCTAAAAGTTTCTTTGAAAATTATTGAGCGAATGTTATTTATGTGCGTGCTATTTCGGAAAAGTGCTAGTTATCGCAAGTATCTAATAAAAATTTAACATAAAATGTAATTTCGTTCATTTCAGCGATAATTATCGCTTTCTCGAACGACTTTAAACACTTAAATATTCAATTTAAATCGTCAGTTTTTTCGTCATTCTCAATTGGGTCACGTAGCGCAACACAACACAACATAACATACTATTTTCATATTTTAGATTTCTCATCTTAGAAGCCGACTCATGAAGATAACATTTTTTGTAAATAATCATTTTATGTTGATCATTACAAATATTTGAATAAAAAATTTATCTTTTTCCTTTCCTTTCTTAATTTTTATATGTATATTTTGTATGCAGTAAAATTTAGGGGTTGAATTTTGAATTTAATAACATAGTAAAGAAACTTTTAGTATACATCCTGTATAAATCTTAAAAACATTGTGATATACCCTCGTATATTTAGCTACAGTTGCACCATCTAACAACTATTTGTCAAAATTTGTTCACAGATTAAACGTCAATTTACGTAATTGTTTTATCATTATCTATGGCTTCAGCTTTCTTGAGTTCGCGAGTTGTGTGACTGACACCAGATATTGTTGTGTTTGTTGCGCCTTAACTATTTTGACGGTTCTGACTTATTAGTAATACTTTCTTTGATTTATACTCTTTATTTACACTGTGTACAACTATTTACGCCCAATGAATGGCCTATTGGCAAGACGATCAACATTATTGATATCTAAGGTTAACATTTCTATGATTCTATAGATATACAATGTTCACTTAACCTACAATTTTATGAAACCTTAAAATTAATACAGTTTAATTAATAGTTTTGTTTAAAAGAAGAAAAATTGTTATCAAGTATATACGACCTTACGATATTTCTAACGTGAGTTAAAATTTTTTTTTTTTTCAGAATATAGTACCTGTTAGTGCTATCTTGGGGCCCTCTTCCTGTCAATGTTTATTATGAAGATAAGTCCCGGAGTGAAGTCTGGAGGAAGGAACAATTGTCTGGTGAAAAATAGAGCTGTGACCAGTATGGACCCAAACAAATTGGATCAAAAGGTAGGACTGTTTGAATTTGATGAAATAACTGTTGCAGTTAAATTATTAGATTGATGTTTTTAATTTTTTAATTTAACAGTGTATTAGATCTGTTTTTGTTGTGCTTTCCAGCATAGTCCTTGAATAATTATCTAATTAATTAAAGGGAGAATATCTAGAATAAGTAAACATTCAGGCAAAATTAGGAAAAATTCATTATGTATCTAACATCCCACATAAAGCAGTTTCATTTATTTGGCTAGCAGGCTCCAAACTTTTTAAAACAAGATAAATGTAGAATAAGTACATTATGATTATATATGGTATGTGAAATTTCTGGTTTTAAGTGTTTTATTTATGTATGACTGTTCATGCTTATTAACCAAGAAATTTGTATTTGCAATTCGAATGTGTGCTAATTAGCAGTAAATTCAGTAAACATTCACGTTTTACTTATAATTATACAACCTTTTTGACCATTCTTAATTTAAAATTAAAATACTCGATGAAATGGTAACTATTAAGAAGACAATAACAATTATATAGATCATTACTTTGGCCTTCTGCTGATTTGTAATAGATGCTTGTGTTGAATTCAATATTACTTTTTAATGCAAAAAAATATGTAAACCTTACGCAGCATAAGTGACGGTGTAAATATCTTTAGAATTATTGCAAAATTACCTGAAGCAGTCAACTTGTGACTTGACGAAAGCTTGTATTAATGTTAATAAATTGATTAAAAACATCATTACAACCTGTTAACTACAGCATACTTAGAACAACACAAAGAAACCCATTTATACATTACTTTTTAACGTTCTGTTACCACATTATTTGCTACGTTTGAGATTAAGTGATTTGAGATTAATTGTATATTTTAATATCGTTTTGTTTGTTTAACAGGAATATTACACAAACTTTGGACATCATAGCAGTCTGCGTTTCATCCCAGTATGGAGCAGTATCCTTTTATTCACTGGAAGCAGAAATATCAAAGGTAAGTGANTGTTTCAAAAGAACTCAAAGAAACCTCCAGTTGCTCTCACTCGTCGGTTGAAAATTGACTGCATAATGGTTCAAGGTGAGGACAAAGTAGCAAAACAAGAATATAGTCCAGGAAAGATGAAGCCCATCTAGACAATGCTTGTTTCAGTATGACCAAGCTGACTTTAAGTCTCTCTTTTCTTAGATAATCTGCAGAAATGGACAAAAAACTTTATTAATTACACTATTAATTAAGGAAGGGATTAAGAACACCTAAAAACAGACCAAAAAGTAAGTAAAACAGTCGAATTATAAAAGGATGACAAGCATCCATTTTACATGACAGATCGTATTTGACATATGTGAAATAATCATAGATGCATAACGTCAATTCATGATGCGAATAATAGATAACTGTTAAATGAAATACTATAGATGCTCCGCACAATAGATAAATGTTAAAATGAATACCACAGATGCACAACGCCAACTTATACTGTGAACAATAGAAAACTGTTAATATACCGTAACAGATTAATAGAATAGCACGTCATGCTTTATCACCTTAAGTGAAGTAGCGGTCGAATGTGGAATGCGCAAGCCAAATCTAGGAGAGTACCACTGCAGACAATCTGTTGCTTGGGTGGTTTCCAAATTAATTTCCAGTTCTCTCCCTTACATCAAAAGCATCAGTTGCTCCATTAGCATCGAAAATTAACTGAATTCCTTTTCATGGACAATCTACAAAAACGAACAAGAAAAAGTAATCAATTACCACTTTTAATGAAAACTCCTTTTCCCACATTTACTCTCATATTAAAATGTACTTATAGTTTACATTCACAGCTAGAAGTTGTTTTCTTAGTAGCATCGAAATGGATCTCAGTTTTCTTCGTCATTTATATATAATACATAGAAACAAAAAAAAATCGAATTAATTACAGTACTAAATAAACAAAATTATATTCAACTTTACAGAATGTTCAACACTTATTCATTTTCAAACATTTTCAGTTACCTCACCTCTCCACAACAGTCCTTCAAAACTTAGAAAGCGAATCCACTGTGACACTGTACCAGTAGGTTGAACTGCTGAAGGAAAAATTCGTTTGGTAAAGGCAGGAAAACAATTATTCCTAAATGTATCTGCAAAAAGAAAAAAAAAAAAAGTGAAAGCCCAAAATAATAAATTTGTAGAAACTGAATTATTTTATAAAATCAATTTATTTATAATGAACGAACTGATTGCTATTATTTTTCACAAAATCGATCGATTTACATAAACCACATTCTAGGCCTGTTCTAGATTATCAAATATGGCCGAGTGAACTCCGTACGTATTTAGAAACTTAATTAATGCGAATCGTAAAAATAATCCCATACCCGATAATTAAAATACATACCACAGATAAAGCTGTAATTCCAGGGCGTATA